TTATTGGTTAGTCTGTGCAAATAAAAAAGATTTGTATAAGTACATGGTCTAAATTTTAATATTTAAACGTTTATACCAGGTGTCGACAACCTCCGGTCGCAAACATCATGTGGATCTTTCGATGTCAAGATGCGGCTCTTTAGCTCCATGCACAAATATTAATATAATATTGAAATAAAAATGTTGGTAATTCTTTAAAAACTGAAAAAACTTTGCAAGTTGAAACATTTGGCTCTTCCATCTCAAAAGGTTGCCAAGATCTGGTTTATACAATTTGTTAAATCCATTTTTTTTGCATTGAAGTGTCGTATTAATTTGAAGTATGTTAATAATTTAAACCTGTAAGGTATATGCATTTTTGCAAACCTTTTAAACTTTTTCTTCTTCGGAGTAAGTCTTTGTAGTTATAAACTGGAAATATGTTCCTAAGTTAAAAGTTTAATAATTTTTTTTTTCTATACCTTTTACTTTAATTCACTTTTTGTTCAGAGCAAGTGTTTGTAATTTTAAAAGTTTTAAATTCATTTGAAATATGTTCATAAGTTAAATTAATTATAAAATACGTTCATTAAGTTGATCTGAAATGAATTTTAGATCATAAATTGACGTTCTGCTTGTGAAGAAAACAATATGCATTACAAAAACAAACAACTTAATACGTTTAGCTATTACCTGCTATGTTCAGTGAAGATTCCACATTTCAAATTTTCAATAGAAATTTGTAATTTAGAAAAATTTAAAAAAAAGATTACTGTTTTACTAACGAAGTTAGTTCACCTTAGTTCATCAAATGGGGTATCAGGCTCACCTGATACCTCATTTGATATCAGAGCGGCTCAGGTTGAGCCGCTCTGATATCAAATGGGGTAAATGGGGTAATGGGGTATCTGTGTAGAGAAAGTTGAGCTATCAAAAAATATATGAATATGCATGATTTAAATCTTGAATAAATTATCAATAAAACTATCGTTAAGAGTAAACGTGTTTATAATTTATAAACTTTTCATTTTATACATTTTAATGAGAAGTAAAAAAATAAAATAGTAAGAAAGTTTTATAAAATATAAAACTATTATTTCATACAATTATCTTGAATTTTGAAGCCCAATTTAAAAACTACTAATTTTAAAAGTATATATACATAAGGTAGTGCAAAAATTTTTCATATCAAAAATGTTTCTTTGAGTTTGATATTATAGTTTTATTATTTTTTCAAAGGTGCTCAACTTACCCCAACTAGACAAGTTGACACATTAGTAAGGTTTTAAAGAGGGCAGTAAGAATTAGGAAAAAGCGACTAATTATGTTTGCAAGACAGATAAATTGATAAAATATCAACTCTTAAGTAATAATAGAAAAAAAAATTGTGATTATTTAAGAGAAAATTTGCAAAAAAATTTTTTATTATTATTTTGGTCCAAAAAAGAAAAAGTGCTCTTGCATTTTATTCGACTGCCGTACAACTATCTTTTGATGCGCATTGCGTTACCATCCTAAATCCCAATATTTTGTCATGCGATGTTTACTTTTCGAGATATTTTAGTTGCCGAACTTGTAATATGCTCAACTAACCCCGCTCTACCCTAGATGTATTTTTATAACACAAAAAATAAAATATTTTGATGATATCGTCAGATATCATCGGCCTCGTTGCCACTGATTCGACCTGCCCACTGGGATATGTTCTGGTTTCCCAACGGCGAGCCAGTTACTGCCAACAGGCAGTGTCTGGCTCGTTCCTCTTCTCGCAGGCAGAGTTTCATTTTATTTATTTTTCAGTTTGTATATTGAAATGCAATTACTGTTATAGCTAAAAGCTTTTTGATAAATCTAATTTAATCAAATAAGGTAATGTATTTGTTATGTTTCATAATTGTTCATCACGTGAATATTTTTGAATTTTATGAGTTACTTATTTTAAAATCTTTTTCGTACCTTTGGTTTGAGTTTTTTATTCTACATTTATTATCATGTTGTTAAAATGTTGTTAAAATGTGCCCGTATGAGATTATGAAATCAAGAAAATGTGCTGACATTAGGGCATGAAAATGATACATTTATAATTTTCATGTTTTTCATATTAACGGCTTTGCTTGATCAAATATAATTTTGTTTTTGTAGATAATAGCTAGAAAATTTTTTCTGCCACCATGTTTTTACATGATGAATTAGGTTGAAACTTTTTCCAGTGAGCAAATCCAGGAATCGCGTTTTTTATAAAATCCTGACTCGAATATAATAAGAGCGTAAATATCGAATTCATTTTTAATAGTGCATACATTATAGCAAATTTTGCTACAAAATATTAAAAATAATATAATAAACTTATTAAATTATTTTTAATATTTTGTATTAAAAATAATTTAATAGGTTTATTATATTAAATTTATTACATTAATAAATTTAATATAATAAACCTATTAAATTATCTAGCTATCCAAGTTATTATAAGAAAATAAATATTAACGGTTTAATTAAATTTAAATAATTCGGGTCTTTTACAAAAAATTTTACAAAAAACGCGAAACCTGGATTAGCTCACTGGAATAAAGTATCAAGCGATAAATTTTTTTTTTATTAAAGTTTAGCGGGTTGTCTCGTAAATATTTACGTATTTTCTTGTTATTAAAATTTTGCGCCAATAAAATTTCGCTCAAGTTGCACATTTTTTCAACAGTTGTGATAACCCAAAAATATATTAGATGTTATTGTGAAATATTACAAAAACTTTTTATTGAATGATTGAAAAGTGTTATGTTTTGATTTATGTTCTCAATTAGTTAATGCTTTAAAGTATCAATGAGAAAATAATTAAAATGTAATAGAGTATAACCTATTATTTAGAAAAAATTTCTTTCAAATAGTTTAATATTAAATACAATATTTGTTAAGATAAGATTATGTTTAAACTAAATGATATTTAAAATGCATTGTGAGTTGACTGATTAATTAAATTAAAATTTATTAGTTGATAACTTCATTGTTTTAATAACGCATATGCGTCATTAAGTCTTAAAAGACTTTAATTTTATATCTTTGGTCTCTGATGTGTACAGAAGCTCCAAAAATGTTGAGAGACTTACGGAATACATTATGAAAAAATACTTATAGGATATAAAGTCTATGAATCTATTATTTTTAGTGCAGAGTCCTTTGCCACCATTTTGCATAACTTATATGATATAATTTAGAACCAGAAGCCCTTTTCATATAAGTTATATCAAAAGGGCTTCTGGTTCTAAATTACTAGTTCCTGCACCTTAAATATCCAGATTTTTTTAAACTAAAGTTGTCCATTAGCCTCTCAATATTTTTGATCCAGGGCTACAATAACCAGGAATAAAAAAAGATTTTGTAATATAAAGAAATTATAGTATTTTTGGAAATTCCTTGTCCCAGCCCAATGATTAAGTTTAAATATAACACAAGTTGAAAACTCAAAAAACCTAATTAGTTCAATTAATAATTAAAATTATTCATTTTATTCATTAGAATAAGAAAGTAATTACATTATGTAACAACATTTTTAGTTGATGTTTTTTTGTAATACTGTTGTAATCATGCTGGATTTAGAGATTTTTTACTTTTTATTTAGAATTTAGATATAACTTTTGCTATAATTTTTTTCTGCATATACATATTATATATTTATACATAACATTAGAATATTCACAAATATAGTATAATCTTATTGACCCACTTAAGCAAATTTTTTTGGGTGCAATTTCTAGCTTTAATAATTTTTAGTGGATCTTTTAATTCCAGCATTTTATTACACATTGGCTCGATTTCACACAATTTTAAGGTTTTTGTTTCTACTCCATCATCATCCACATATATTAACAGTTACTATTGCATGTTTTTAAGGTATAGATTTGCCTATTCTTTGAAAAATAAAACTATTCTCTTATTTTGGTTATAAACATAAAGTTGATCTTCTAAAAACTGAATTATTAATCTAATTAGGCTGTTAATATATTTTAAGGAGTGGATTCTCGTAAATCAAAGTTTATGAGTATCAAAGTACTGAATGAGACATAACGCGTATACATGATTTGTGACACATATACAAGTTTCTGATCACTTTATCAGTGTGAAGATATTAGTTATCTAGGTTAATTACAATTCATCGACAGTCAACCTTTTGCTTTTATATATATATATATATATATATATATATATATATATATATATATATATATATATATATATATATATATATATATATATATATATGTATATATATATTGTGTCAAAAATAATCTTCTGTAAAGAAGGAGGGGGGGTGGAACACCCCTCATAAAATTGTCTTTATTTGCAATAATGCAGCTAATATCACTTCATAAAAAAAGAATTCCTTTAAAAAAAATAGGCCTAATATTAAAGTAACTGCGTGTAAAATGTAAAAACTTATTCTTTCAAAGATTTTTTTTTTGTGGAAAATAAAACTGCATAGCGAGCTTAAAGAAAACTTGTTCACGGTTTTTGATATGGAAAAATAAAATTCTTAGTTTCTGGGCAAAAGAGCTACAAAAAGATAGAAAATTTTATATCCAGTTTGTTTAGAAGACTCCACTTCTAATAGAATAAGACAGGCTGAATACAGGTTTAAGCAATATATATTTTGTTCTCCATATGTGGTGATAATAAAATATTTCAAAAGAAAAATTTAAGTTAAACATGTAACATAGATACATTATAATTTGTTATAACTTCTTAATATAAATTAAATAAGGTGATATAAACAACTATGAATCGTTGTAATTTAAAATACAACTTTATTAGAGGATCAAAAAAGATTTGCAATATAAGGTATTAAATTACTATTCTGAATCAAGTTAACTATTTATAGTCCTGTTAACTATTTATTGTCCTTATGTAGGAGAGCGCTAAACTAATTTTAATTAGTTTAATGTTGCGCTCTCCTATGTAAAAGTATGACAATGGTCACCATAACTATTTGGAAATTAGAGTTTAAAGTTTTTACAAATATGTTATAGATCCAGGTCCAATTGGAAACGGAAGAAAAATAAGCCAAACAGTTTTTAGTCAAGAACAACAAATACTCATAGATGGTAAAGGTAAATGATATGTTTTATTTTGTTTGTTTTACATTTAGTGATTAGTCCTCATGACCAGTTGTTAAGCCCTTGACAACTGGTTTGATATGTTAACTACTAATTTACTATTGAATTACCAATAAAAACCATTAAGTAATAATTCTAATAACTGATTAATTTGCTAGTAAATCTTTGTTTTAGTAATTTTATTGGGTATAATTAGTGGAATATCTAGCACTTTTTGGTGTTTGAGCCAAACTTCTAGACTAGGTTTATACTTATGTCAAATAAGAATGCTTTAATGCTTTAATGTCAAATAGGGATAAAAAAATGGTGATGGTTGGAGTCTGGGAACAAAAAAGCCCCAAAATTTATAACTTTTTAAAATTGTAAAAATCAACATAGCATAAACTATTTTGTGATTGTAATAATAAATATATATTTGTTTTTTCTTTGTGTCTTTCTGAATATCTTTACCCAATATATATACATTTGCAAATACCCCCAAGAGTATAATAAACAGTATTAACGTTATGTACAATATAATATATAATGCGAGGCGCCCACAACATTCCTTCTGATGCAACACATTAATAGTTTAAATATAATACAATTATTTACACTAATTACAGTGATGTCAGTGAATACTAAGTGAATACGGTACTAAGTTATAAATTTGGGTTTTTAGCTGGTATTTATAAAATTTGTTAGTCTGAAGAATAAAATAAGCTAAAAAGTCTGACAAAAGGATAGTAAACTAAAGACCCAAAATACTGTTTAACATTTTGCAAGTAATGTTTAATGTTATGCAGGGGTCGAAGTAAGTGTCAGACATTGGCACTCCCTGGACTGTTTTTGAGACCTGAATTATGGAGGAAAGGCATTCAACCATTGTTCATTTTTACTGGGAAAATGAACAATGGTTTGTTGCCCTCCTCTTGCAGGTCTCAAAAATGGTCCGAGGGGTAGCAATGTCTGACACTTATTTCGACCCCTGTTATGCAAAAAAACAAGTAAAAAGATTTTTTAACTTTTAGGTTGGATTTCTGCAAATCAGAATTGTGAGTTATTAAAATTTCTAACATTATATTGTAAATTCAATTCTCATTACAAAATAAAAGAAGTTCCATTAGAAGTGTTCTATTCTGGAAAATAAAGGTGTTTTGACACTATATATTTATCAACTCACTAAAAATATTTGTGAGCTGATAATTTACAGAAAATCAGTTTGTTGATTGTGGCAGAAAAAAATATAGCCAATTCCAAATTAAGTCATTAGTAAATTCAATAAAACTATGTGTGGCATTTGTGTATTATAAATCAGCTGAAGGGGTGGGAAATTTTAAAGTGCTATGTATTTTTTCGAATTTATTTTGCAGGAAATAATTTCAATCAATTTCAAGATCAGATCAAATGTGATTGTTCTTATTTAGATATGCAACTCTAGGAGTCCAGATAAACTGTTTTTCTTTCTAGAAAATTTTAAAGTTATGATTATCATTATTTAAATTGCTTTCAAATATAAAAATTTGTTTTATATTTTTAAAAATGTATATTAACCATCATTAGAAGTCATTTGCTGTTTTAAATCAATATCAGTAGAATTGGTGGTGGAGTATTGTTTTTTTTTCATGTTATAAAACTATAGAATTGAAATTGAAATTTCATTCATTCAAGGTTTATACAAATAATCAGTTGCTCGTGTAAAAAGAAATTTTTTATCAAAGTTTATAAAAGTGAATTTTTATGTAATCGAAAACAGTTTTTTCTAGAAGAATAATAAGAAGGGTTAGGACAAATACATTTAATCAAATACAAATATGTTAATTCTAGATTTTCAAATACAAATTAAAATACAAATATATGCAATCAGAATTTTCCAAATACAAATATTTGTACTTATGATTAAAAAATAAAATAAAAACAGGTTTCCTACAGAGCCTGTTTTCCTTTTTTTTTTCCTGTTTTTAAGGCAATAGCCTGTTGTTTTTTTTTAAGTCTAACGATGTTTATATATAAAATGATATATTTTATGGATTTAGGAGGTAATGAAGATAAAAAGTTTTTTAAACAAAATTTATTAAATTTGTTTTAGGTATAATATATAATTTTTATAATAAATAATAATTTATAAAAACTTAACAGCAAAGGGAAAACCCAAAGATAACATTTAAAATCGAGTTTGAAAGAACTTTTTTGTATAGACGTCATTTATTAACTACAAAACCGCATTATTCATACCAGTATTTGGAACTGGAACTTACCTGAAACTTAACTGAAATTAATTTGTAGTTATATGTAATGCAAACATTTTAAAGTAACTTGAATTAAGTTTGTTAAATTTTTTTTTTACTAAAACTGAATGATAATAAAGTTAATTTAAATTTAATAAAATAAATTAAATATATATATATATATATATATATATATATATATATATATATATATATATATATATATATATATATATATATATATATGTATATATATGTATATATATATATATATATATATATATATATATATATATATATATATATATATATATATATATATATATATTTAATGACTCAATTATGTAAAACCAATGACTCAATTAAGTAATAATAAAGACGTAAAACTAAAATATTTTTTTGAAGATGCTCTTGGTCTTGCAAAAAAACTGTTTTCGGTTTGATAAATTTCATGAATATTATGAAAAATCACTCAGGAAGAGTGCTACCAGTTTTTAAAAAATTTCTTTGTTAATTATTTTTAATGAATGAGTTCAATACTTACGCAATTCTTTTGTTATGTAACTCTTAATAATAGATTAAAAAAATTCACAATAACCGCTCGATAATGTAAGTTATGTAACTTAAGTAAAATATACAGTATCAAAAAAACAAATTTATTTTATTTTCTAAAATTTTTAAATTGGTATAGAATTCTTAGCGATTTGTGACAGTTTCTAAACAAACTGTTTTACTGATTTGCAGAAATCAGACTTAAAAGTTAAAGTAATTTTTTTACCATGTAACATAAGTGTAAGTGGCATTTTCAGTTATAAAATCGCTCTCTTTTGGCCAAATTCAAAACTTTTTAGCTTATTTTATTCATTAGACTAACCGCTTTCATACAAAATAGCTGGAACTTAAATTTAAAGTTTAAATAAGCAAATATTTGATAAAGTTGTCGCGCGTGTAATGTTAGTTAAAAATGGAATTGCCCATATATATGTTATTTTAATGTTTTTATTTATTCATTAATGACTATAATAATAAATTATTTTTAATAAAAAAAATACAATAAGATGACTAATTAGTTTGGTTTTTTCAACGCGTTTTTAAAATGCGTCATTTTTAATATATGTAAAAAAATCGTGGCCAAGTTATCAACGAAAAAAATTAACGCATCTCCTGAGAAAGCCTATATATATATATATATATATATATATATATATATATATATATATATATATATATATATATATATATATATATATATATATATATATATATATATTAGGCTTGGACAGGAATGGTGTGTGATCGCATGCTGTAACTGACCACACTTATAGTTTTTTTCTTTACAATTTGACCACATTTTTGTTATGTTTTTACAATATAAATGCAATAAATCAATTGTTACATTATGAGTAAATTTTAATCTTTGATATTTTCTGAAGTTTTTATTTTATCCAAATCTTTAAATAAAATAAAAAATTAACTATAATGGTTGTTTAAATGTAATGATTGTTTGAAGTAATTTGTAATGTTTTTATTTCATGTTTTTTTAATCTTTTAAACAAATATTTTAATTTTTGAAAGATTTTTTTTTACTTTCAATTACGATAAGCATGAATAAGTTCAAACTATTTAATTATTATTTATTTATTTATTTATTATTGTTATTATTATTTAATTAAGTTCATTACTATTTTACGTCACTAAAAACCAGAGATGCGGAGTCCCAAAAGGACTCCAGCTTTATAACTTTATTTTTTATTGACTCTGGTGTCCAGAAGGTTAATTGACTAATGATGTGCTAAAAGAAAAAAATTTATGATATTTAATGAGTTGGAAGTTATTGTTTTAATCCCGGAGTGCCAGAGTCATCGCCGCCATTATACTGAGAACTCCGGGTTCAAAAATTGATTGTTCTATTGACCTATCAGTCTTGATTTTTTCCCCATTAGTAGCCCATAAACTTTTTAATATTTTTAAAGCTCCTGGTTACCAAAAACTTGAAAGAAATAATCTTTTTGTGACTAGCAAATCCGCTTTTTGGGACTCCGGTAAAAATACAAAATGTGGACATATGGCCTCTTAGTTCTCGACTGACGTAATGTAAAAGTGTTTTGAATTACTTTAATAAAACGTTTAAAAAGTTTTTAAGTAATTTTTTTCAAATGCATTTAAAAATGTAACAAAAAGTAATTTTCGTTTGAGTTTTATATTAGTGTTTGAGTTTGAGTTTTATATTAGTGTTTATATATTTTTCTTTTTTGAAAAAAATGGTTAATTTTTTTATTTATTTTTATATTTTCTTTCTAGTTTAAAGCGGTAGCAGGCGAAAAACACCTTTTTTCAAAAAAATTAAAATTATTTAATGTTTTATTTTAATGGTATATACTAATTAAAAAAAAACAATTAATACAAAGATAACTAAATATTGAAAAATGATCACAATCTCTTGAAGTTTTATACTATTAGTAATACTATGTTCTGAGCGAGCCAGAAAAAAAAAATTGTTTTTCAAATGCGCCAGGTTGACTGTCAAACTTTAAATTTCAAAAAAAGTAAAAGTATGTTATATCGAAAAAATAAAAATAAGAAAATAAAACATTAAAACTCAAAAAAACAAACTAAAATGCTTCACTAGCATATGTCTCTCTTTTATCTTAAATACGTTGATTACAAGAAGTTTTTGTCTTTTTTCTAAAACATCGAAGAAAAAACTTCTTGTAACCAGAAAATGAGCTGGTTGACTTTTTCTCAGATTGCTTGACAAGCTGAATATCAAATTTTCTTTAACCTTTAGTAACAATTTGAAAAAAATAATTAACAGAATTAAACCACGAAGATAAATTAAATGCGCATTAAAAATGAATGCGTTTATTATAATGGTTTTTGACATGGTTATTTAACATTATGACTGCTATTTTTTTAACAATAGTTTTGCTTTAATGTTTTAAAAACTTAAAATGATTACATTGTGTGGCTGTAAGATTAACATTAATTATTCCACCATATGGCAAGATAGCAAACTTCAGTAACTGCTTTTTGTTAAATAGTTTGCTTTTTCTGCTTGAGATTTAAAATTTGAAGAAGTTGACTTTTTTTTTAGATTTCTTAACAGCTAAAAATTACAAGTTAGGTTTATAAACTTTTTTAAAACAATTTTTTCATTCTGAATTAAAAGTTAATGTGCATGAAACTATATTAACAAATTACTAATTTTTTTAGTTCTTAAAAACTAAAAAAACAATGTATGTTTTTAATTTTTACATTTTTTTAGCTATTAAACAAGTGGAAGTAATTGGTGAAAAATCTCCAGAACCAATGGATTCAAAGAAACATAAGAAATTAATTCGTAAAAAATCGACTGACAATGTTGAACTAAACATTGCGTGTCGTAACTTAGGAACAGCTGACTTTGAAGGATGGCTAATGAAAAAAGGTTTTTTGTTTTTATTTCCAACCATTGTAGTGCTAAAGTATGAATTTATCTTTCTAAATATATTTATGATATGAGCATTTTTCCTTATTTGCGAAAATCTAGTTTTTTTTTAATTTTATGATGTGAGGTGAAAATGATTCAAAAATCGGAAGTGTTTTACAATTAATAATTTTAGTATGCTATTGAATAAATGTTTTAACAAAATAATTTTAGAGTGTTATTGAATGAGAAAAAATTAGTTTTCGTTTAATAATATTCTCTAAACTCCAAGCAAATAGAATAATTGTGCATATTTACAACATAATATTACTTTATCTTCAGTACTTTTACTTTTTGATGTTTTAGCTGGTGGGCATGGCTTACGCCCACTTACCTGGAAAAAGTATTGGTGTGTTGTAAAACATGGTAATATTTATTGTTACAAAACATCTTTTGATATTGCTGCTGATTATGCAATACCTATCAAAAACTTCTCTATTGAAGATGCCGATGAGAAAAAAAAAGTGTATGTTTTTTATTGTAAATATATTTTTATTCAGTCTATTTTAACAAGCAATGAATAAAAAGCAAATATAATAACTTAATAAGTTTAATGTTTTTTATTACTTGATGTGTGTTTGTTGTTGCAAAAGTTTAAATATCGCAAATAAATCATACTAGCATTTCTGACCTGTAAAATTCAGGTCTTAGTCTATTCTACACTGATCTTATAAATAAACTTATACTTTACTTTAAAAATTTTATATTAAGCAGTATATATATTGTCTACCTTTTAAAGTTATGAATAAAGCTTTTTATATTAAGCAGTAAAAAAAAAAAAAAAAAAAAAAAAAAAAAAATGGGTGCAGACATAAATTTTTTTCTTTATTTAGTTTCTATTAACAAAAAAAGACAGAATGCAATGAATAACTTTATAAAACAGTAAAGAAACGCTTTAAATCAAAATTAATGATATTTTGCCACAATTCAATTTTTAAATAAAAGTACAACTTTATAAAAGTAAAGTATCTATTAAACTTCAAAAAAAAAAATTATTTTTTATTTTAAAAAATTGAAAAAGATTTATATATATATATATATATATATATATATATATATATATATATATATATATATATATATGTATGTATGTATATATATATATATATATATATATATATATATATATATATATATATATATATATATATATATACAGTGGTTTTCATAAATTTAGACGCACTCATATTTGAGAATAGAAATTTTTAGTTTTTCAGCGATAAAACAATGACGAAAAAAGATTTTGGTTTAGTTTTTTTTCTATTTATTAGATAAATACATACAGAATACAAAATTTGAAAAAAGTTTACAAAAAAAATGAAATACTAAGTAATAATTAGGTACAACTACATGGTATTAAAAAAATTAGACAAAAAAAATTATTCACAAATTTAGACGCACGATACATTAGAAGGCGTAATTTATGAACCAATCAATATTTTGTGTATCTGCCTTTTGCTTTAATACAACTAAGAACTCTACTAGGCATAGACTCAACAAAATTTTTGCTCATCGTTTCTGGTACCCCATACCAGGTCTCCTTAAGGAATTCCTTCAGCTGAGTAAGTGTGGAAATTTGAACCTTTGCTAATTCACGGTCAATCCAAGCCCAAATCTTTTCAATCGGGTTTAAATCAGGTGAGTATGGAGGCCACGGTATTGTCATGATACTATTATCGTTGAACCACTCCTTTGTATAGTATGCAGTATGTGCAGTAGCGCCATCTTGTTGAAGTTTCCATGGTTTATCATTGAGCATAAGCAGGTCAATTGATGGAATTTAGTTGTTTTCCAGTACTTCTACGTATATTCTGGAGTTGATTCTTCCGGTGTATGTTTGGCACATACCAACACCTTTATAATTGAAGCATGACCAGATTCCTATCGAGCCTCCTCCACTTTGTACAGCCGGTCTAATGTACCTGGCGTAATACTTTTAATGAGCCATTCTTTTGACTGTTATGTTAGATTTGCGATTGATAAGCTCAAAGTTACTCTCATCACTCCACATAATGTTTTCCTATTGTTCTATTGTTCAATATCTTCTTTACCACACCATTTTAGTCTCCTTTGTTTATCATATGGACGCAGAAGCGGTTTCTTCAAAGCAGTGTAGACTCCAATCTTGTATTTGATAAGTATTCGGTGGACTGTGCTTTGAGAAATAGACGTATTTTGCGTTGTATTAAATTCTGTGGTTGATCCTTTGTAACTAATTCTTGGATTAGCTCTGACAGCTCTAAAATGAACACTATCGCCCTTTCTGGTGGTTGACAAGGGTCTACCTGGCCTCGTTTTCTCGCTGACACCACCAGTGTGAAGAAAGTTTTGTTTCGTTGTCCGAACGCATTTCTCAGAAACTCCAATTAACTTGGGGATTTTTCTATTACTTTTGGTTCCTTCTTTGATGTGCGCAATAATTTGCCATCTTTCACCTTGAGTGATACGTCTTTTGCCCATTTTTCTTTTTAGTGCAAAACTAACTTAACTTTTGTTTATTTATTAAATAATGATTAACTAATTCCAGGTAAGTCATATTTATATAAAGTTTTTTGACAAAATCAATTACTTTAGACCTATTAATGAGAAATATGGGGAAAAAACTACTAATTAACTATTGATTAACAAGATATAAGACTTTTTTGATTGTGCGTCTAAGTTTATGAACAAAATAAAATCAAGCTTATCAATTAACTTTTTTGTGTTATTCGGTATAGAATGAGTAATAAACATCCTGTAAAAAAAAAAATAAGGTACTCTTTAATAGAGTTTCACTTCCTCTTGTAAATTATATATCAAACATAGCGGTAGTACTTTTATTTTATTTTTATTTTGAGTATTTTCTTACATATATGAAAAAAAAATGAATGTGTCTAAATTTATGAAAGCTACTGTGTATATATATATATATATATATATATATATATATATATATATATATATATATATATATATATATATATATATATATATATATATATATATATATATATATATATATATATATATATATATATATATATATATATATATATATATATATATGCGTGTGTGTGCGTGTGGAAGAGCAAGGATTTAAACTATGGCATTTCACTTTATATTTTAAAACTATTTATTAAACACAAGACTTTATAAAACGGCAAATAAATTCTATAAATCAAAATTAAGGAAATGTTGCCACTATTCAATTTTTAAGTAAAAGTAAAACTGTAAAACTTGATATGTGTTTTAACATTGCATAATTTTAAGTTTACATAAGTTAGATATTTGCATACATTTTTGTTCACATTTTCTGATACAAAAAGTGCTGCGACACTTTCTTGCCATTAACTTGATTGTAATGGCTACAATGACTTCCATGTCAAACGTGCACGAATGAGTAACAGCAGCAGCGGCAGCATTAAGTTCAGTATTAAAATATTGTATGATAAAAATATGTATTATTTACTAGATTATAATATACTGCATAGTATTATTAGTTGCAGTATTATAACTGTTTATGTTTATTATTTTTTTATTACTAGTAGTATTATAAACTGCATTGTATTATTTCTTTATATTATTGACTAACATATTAAGTAATACAAATAATTGATATAACATAGAACTACCATTTTTCCAGTTTTTATGCAGGAGACTGCAGCACAAAACCTAATTAGAATTAAATGTTCTCCTACTTAAAAATTGGGAGCATGGCCACCCTAATGCAACTTATTACATGGTTGTTGCAAACTTTTTGTGATAAACTTTTTTTTTTGTTTGTTTATAAACATCTCAATATTTATTTGCAAATATATACTTATATATTTTTTATAATATATATAAAGTATGAGCCAAATAAAACCGACCAAAATTTTTTGCAGAAAAATTTACATTTTATGGGTTTCAAAAGCATTTCTCAGATATTTAAACCTATATATTAACTTTTTGCATATTTCTTGTTTATTTAAATGTCTTATATCTCATTTCTTATATTAAAAAAGAGTTTCATATTGAGTATAAGACAACTTATTTTTTCTTTTCTCAACAATTTCTTATTTGGGTTCTTATTTTTCATAGTTATGGTTAAATAACTCTTAAGTTATTTGATTATTTTGTAATAAGATATGAATTGTAGATTGACAGGGTTAACCTTACCCTAACCCTGTATATATAAAAAAATTCTATAATGTATTTATTAATGATGAAATATGCTAATTTGTTACATTTTAGACTAGATAAATATATAATATATAAAAATGGTTTTAAATGCCATTAGTAAAGGAAGAATTATTAAGATGTCATCCTTTGGTATGACTCATAGAGATATTGCAAGCAAGGTTGGATTCGTAAAAAGTACTATTACTGATTTTCTAAAGAAGTATAAGGAGACCGGAGAAACAGTCCGTCAATCTGGATCAGGAAGAAAGAAAAACTACTAAAAGAGAAGATAGACACATTGTCCAAGCTGCCCTTAAAAATCGCCATATTTCTACTGACGGGATAAAAGCAGAAACTGGTATTACCAATATTTCTGGAAAAAGCATAATTCGTTGTTTACATGAATGTAAATTTAGATTCTCATTGGGCTATCAAAAAACTATCAAGACTATTACCCAATGGAGACAAGTTGTTTGGTCAGATGAGTCTCCTTTTAGCTTTAGATGCAATCGAAGATTTTGTGTTTGGAGGCGTAGTAATGAAAAGTATCATCATGAATGTATAAAAAAAAAATGTATAAAAAGCCACAGTTAAGCATCAAAAAAAGATTAACGTATGGGAATGCTTTGCTGCGCATGCTACAGGAAGGATTTACAAGATTAAAAGCAATAAGGATCATTACCAGTACCATAGTATCCTTGTTCATAATGCAAAGCCAAGTTGCTTGAAATTATTTCCAGATGGTAACTATCTATTTCAACAAGATAATGATCCTAAGCACACTGCAAAATATAACAAAGCATATATTGAAAAAAATATGCTAACTCTGAAATGGTGGCCTAGCCAATCTCTTGATCTAAATCTAATTAAAAACCTATGGTCAATGCTCAAAGATAAAATTAAAAGAAGAATGTGTAATGATAAAGTTTGTCTTTTCAATTGCGTAAAAGAGGCATGGAATAGCTTAGAACCATTGTTATTAACAAAGCTTGTTGACAGTATGCCTAAAAGAATCAAAGCAGTTTTAGCTGCAAAAGGTGCTATGGCCAAGTACTAGATTTTGAGATTTTGTTTCAAATAAAATGACTCTTTCAAGATAATAAAAGAATACAATAATTCTGCCAACAATTATTTTGTACTATGTATATTTGGTAATACTTTAGTATTTATGAAATCATTATTACATTATAAAATGTGTCTTTTAATGCTTTAATGTTAATTTTCTTAAAAAAAAAATTTTAGTGTTTTTTTTTTTATCTTTTTAAATATATATATACATTTTATATATACGTGTTAAAAGCATGATATTTATATATTGATACTTGAAATAAAATCACTCATTAAACTTGTTTTCTTTATTTTTTTACATAGAAATTTTTTGAAAAAACCACATAAAATTTCTTGGCCGGTTCTTTTGGCCCATACTGTATATATATATATATATATATATATATATATATATATATATATATATATATATATATATATATATATATATATATATATATATATATATATATATATATATATATACATATATATATATATATATATATATATATATATATATATATATATATATATATATATATATATATATATATATATATATATATATATATATATATACACACACACACATATATATGTAGAGCTTTCCGAATGAAGCCACATGACGAAGTTACAAAACCTGTTATCTTTGCTGGTGAAAATGAAGCAGAAATTAAAAAATGGGTGGAAAAACTAAACTTGGTGATTTCTGGTATTGATATCTCAGAGACTAAAGGTTAAATGTTTATAAAAATTTGATAAAATTAGAATAAATATTATATTTTAATGTCATTAAAATTTAACCCAACATAAATCATTTTATGCTTAACAAAAACAGTTTACTATTAGTCAAATTATAACAAAGTAAAAAGTTCCAGAATGTAAGCAGAGTTCATTGTTTGCTTTCTATGTTTAAAACATCTAACTTTGGGAAAAAATAAATCTCTTCTTATGGTGTGCATATTCTGGCCTTTGTAGCGACTTAAAAAAATACACTTTTAAAATTAAACCAATGATCTTAACATTCAAAGCTTTTACTGCTTCTTAACATACAAAACACTCACTGCTTTCTAATATAGAAAGCGTTATACTTTTGTATATTAAGATTAGTAATATTAAATGGTTCCATCTTTATTGATGTTTTACATTCAAATTGAATTAAACTAATTTTATTATGAGTAAAATTATTCTGAAATTTTTTTTATTACTACCTTGTTTGTTAATTTCTTTATAATAAATTAAATTTTAGTAGATAATGCAATACCAGATTATGAAGATAGAAAAAGAGTCTACAGTACAAGTCATCCGAAAGATGTTAAGCGGCATGGAGCTTTATCATTTTCTTCAGGCAATTTTCTTTATAATTATAGTTTGTTAAATATTATGGTTATTTTTTATCAACCATAAAAATATTTTCTTATAGAAACAACTGGAATGCCTGGTGGAGTTAGTACACGTACTTCAAGTACTTCAAATCCAAGAGCCAGACTTTCTAGTAATAGTTCAAAACCTGAAACATGTTTGGCAGGTTAGATTTTTTTTTCTTGAAAAAACATACATACATACATACATACATACATACATACATACATACATACATACATACATCATACATACATATACACAAATGTATGTGCTGGCCCTAGAGACTACATGGGAATTCTTCATGAGTCTTTTGACATTAATTTTAGAAGTGTTTTTTGGCAAAATAAATAATGTATTGCATTCTTAAAAGAACCAACAAATTTATTTTCAATCACTTTATTTATGGCTCACAAATATAATTCTTTGTTTGATTGATTGATTTAAAAGTGTTCAAATTTTATACATTATTAAATTTTCAGTACTATTAGTATTTTGCACACTTGAATGTAACTGTTATGTAACATCAAAACAAATTAGATAACTAAAGGAAAAAAAAAAATTATTTTCAACTTTTTATTACTTTGAACAATCATAATGAATTAAAATAGAAATAAGTTTAAAAGTAATAAAAATTGTTGAATCATTAAAAAAGTTAAGTAATAAAAATCAAAGTAAGTTGAAAAGATGTTTTGCAATATTTTTATTAAATTTTAAATTATTAATGAAAAATAATGTCATAATTACGTTTTTATTAGTCATAATGATCAAGTTTAAATTAAATTTCAAATAAATATAAATAATTTTTAATTTTTTTAAATTTATATAAACAAAGATAAAAAATAAATTTAATGTAATTTTTAAATGTTTTGAAATTGAAATAAACTCATTGTATAGAAATTTTATGTTCTAATATTGTTGCTCCTATTGTATGTAATAATGGAATTTTTGTACATAATATTGCTATTTTAACAGCATTATGATTAAAGGTATTTACTTTTACTTGTCCAATTCATGGCATTTTTAATAGACAGCAAAGTGGTTGAAACAAATAAAAATTTGTCATATTTTTTAACTTTGTAGTATCCTGTTCTAAGCCAGGTTGAAAAGGATGAAGTTTGTGTAAAAACTTCATTTTAAAAAAATGTTTTTCTAAATTTCTATAAAAAAAACATTTATCGAAACTGAAAATTATGAGCCATATAAATATATAAGTTATATCAACATATATAAACTAAAATATATGTGATAACTAAAAAAACTATTCAAATGGAATGCCGGATTGTTCTGCTGTATTTATGTTTATGTCATCATTAGGCAGTATTTTTTCTAAATGAAACAAATCACCATGTTTTTTTATATTATCTTTTTTCAATTTGTTTCACAACCTGGATTTTACAATTAAAAGCATGAGAAACACTTTCACATACTCATTAATATCGATTCAATACTAAATGATAATGTATTGGTCAATAAGAAATCTTTTTTTGATCGATAACTATGCACTTAATGCTCTTTGTTGCAAAATGGTGCAATGGTAATAACTATCAGTTTTGAAATTGATCAAACAATTAGGCTTTTTTTTTTAATTCTGATTCACTACCAACAAGGCTGCAAGCAACCACTATGGAGTTACTAGAAAACAAATAATAAGTTAAAGAGCAAGGAAACCATTGACAGAAGACTTCAAAAGTTGAAGGTTGTATGAGTCAGAATAACAAGAAAATGGGAGAGAGTTTCAAAGCATTAATTCCAAAGAGAAAAAAAACTAGATGAATAAAAAATTTTAGAGCATGCAGGGACAGATACAGTAAATAGATGAGACCTTGCTGAATGACGAGTCAAGAGAGAACGAATTTTGATTGATTGAACTACAGATGAAAACTCTTTGAGTAGCCACTATGATAGTATTTGTAGAAAGAAAAAGAGATACAAATTTATGATGATGGGAGAGAGGCTCAAGTTTGGTAGGTAGAGCGGACCTAACTATGTTTACAATGCGTTTTTAAACCTTGTCTAGAAGAGATAGAGCATTGTTAAAAGCTAAAATCATACAATGGAGTCAAGCTAGTATAGTGTTGGTAATATGTCTGCTCAAACCAAAAAGAGTTTAAACTCTTTTTGGTTTGAACAGATATATTACCAACACTTATTATTTAACAATTAAAGGATATAAGTTTAAATATAATTTATACAAACATACAAGTATATGAATACACATATACAAACATTTCCATGCTAACGATAATTGTTTTGATAATTATAATAACAACTGTTTTTCGATATTGGATTTTTTTTTCGCTTTCTTTGAAGCCTTTAATAAATTTGAGCTTAAAGTTAAGGAAAGTTTCTTTATTGAATGGAAAAATCCAGATATGAACAAACAGTTGAGCCATTATAAGATATCTTTTTTCACATAATAGTTACCATTTTATAAGTTGACAACCTTTTGGTAAATACTTTATTATCTTTATTATGGTATTTTTTGCTATTGTCTATTTTGTCTTTTAAAAAAAAAATTTAATCATATTTTATTTCTATAGAAATTTTGTTTATAAAAAAATATATAAGTTTTTCTAAAGTATGTCAACCTGGTTCTCAAAAGAAGCAAAATTATATAAACATGTTAAAAATAATTATTTAAAAAAAAACTTGAAAATATTGACTTTTTTTATTTTCATCTTGAGAACAATAGTTTTTATGCAATTATCTCTAAAAAAAATATTTTTATGTAAATTGATTATTATTTTTAAAGTTTATATATAATTTCGCTTCTTTTGAGTACCAGGTTGACATTTTAGAAAAACTTTTTTTTTCAAAATATTAGGGACCCGTCAAATTTTTAAGGGTCTTGCAGTACCCCTAAAAAAAATTTTTATTCAAAAAAATTTGAAACCTAATGTTTTTGTATTATATAGAACACATTTAGTTAAGAGCAGCAGACTATTTTAAAAAAAGTTGTATTTTGAACCACCCTAATATATATATATATATATATATATATATATATATATATATATATATATATATATATATATATATATATATATATATATATATATATATATATATATATATATATATATATATTAGGGTGATTGTGCTAAAAAATTTACATGCTTATATTTTTATACATTTTGCTTTAGTTTGCTCAATGTTTTGGTTACCTAAATACACTATATTGTATCTATACACACACAAATATATATACAGTGTTTCTAGAAAGTATTAGCGCACTAATTTTTTTTAATTTTTTTTAAATTTTTTTACCTCACTGAACTTCAAATGAGTATAATTTGAAAACAATAAAAGGCTGATTGATCTTTTTTTTTTAATTATTCCTAAAATAAAGCAGATTTACTAATTGTTAAATATATAAAAGTATTTCTTTATTATTAACTTAAATTTAATTTGAATACAATAAGAGTGATAAAAACAATATTAAAAATGTGTACAAAAGTATTAGCGCACTTACAGTTTTTCAAAGATTTTAAGAAAGTTTAATATTTTATGTGACCCCCTTTGTTTTTAAGGCATGCCAAGACTCAATGCAGTATAGAATGTATAAGTTTTTTTATTAATTCTTGTGGCACGGTATTCCACAACTCTTGCATTTGCATTTTGAACTGCACCAAGTTAGTAGACTTGCATTTTTGTAATTTGCAGTCTATCCAACTCCAAAGATTCTCAATAGGGCACGACTCGCTCGCCTAATTTAAATTAGGCAAGCGAGTAGGCCTAGGCATTAGATTTAACCGTTTTTCCTCCATGTATTGCTTAATTGATGGTGCTGTGTGGCAAGGAGCGTTATGTTGTTGAAATTGCCAGGTGGAGTCAGCCTTGAAGACATCCATTGGTGGCTTTAAATAATCTTCTAATATTCTCTCTATATCCATGTTAATTAAGGCAATCAGTGTAAATATGTGCCAGGCCATTGCTAGATCCAGCAATTCAGCCCCTAATGCCAATTGAGCCTCCTCCTTGAACTCTTGACATGATAAAACAAGAATTATTTTTCGTTTTTGTATCTCCTCACGACAACTCTTTTCTTGCAAATAATAAGTTTAAAATTTGACTCGTCCTAGAAAATTATTTTTCTCCATTGCTCTACAGTCTATGCAGCTCTCTCTATGATATGATGACATTTTCTTCGCTTGAGACGGCCTTTGATACTTAGTAGTGGCTTCTTTGTTGCAAGGTATGAATTGAGATGTTTTTTCTTCATTAGCTTGCTAATTGTCGATCTGCTAACTTGATGTGTACCCAACGCTGTAATCAGGTCTGAGGCCGATTTCTTGATTGCTGAAACCACTTTTGTGCAGGCCAACAACTTGCCACTTTGTTTCAATTGATATGCTCTTTAAATCCATATTTTTGTTTGTGCAATTTGAAAGTTTTAACTAACTGTATTTTAAAGTTTTAACTAACTGTAAATGATATTCCCCACACTGAAATTTATGGTTCTTTTATTTCTTATTGACCAATTGTTAATCAGCAGAGAGTAAACAAAAATTAGCTAAAAAAGTTTTTCTCAAAGGAATTAAACGAGTATGCTAATACATTTTAAATGAGTGCGCTAATACTTTAGCACGCTTAATTTTTCCGAGTAGTCATTAAACTTATAATTAACTCATAAAAAAAGCAGGTTGACAAATGTTTGACATTATAGTTAAATTTAATTGGTTTTACCTTTCATTTAAAAAAAAAAAACTAGTTCAAAATTAAAATTACTTTACAATTTATATTGATTTGAAGTTGTCTATAATTATGAGGGCACTAATATTTTCTGGAAGCACTATATATATATATATATATATATATATATATATATATATATATATATATATATATATATATATATATATATATATATATATATATATATATATATATATATATATATATATATATACATATATATATATATATATATATACATATATATATATATATATATATACATATATATATATACATATATATATATATATATATATATATATATATATATATATATATATATATATATATATATATATATATATATACACACACTTACTAAAGCGTGTTTTGATAAGCATTTGCTCACTTTTTCTGCTTACCTTAAGCTATACCATTTTTTTCGAAAAAGAAGAAGAAAAAACGAAGAATGATGAATGAAACGATTGCTTCCCCATCCCAAACTCTCGGTCGATGTAGCAGCACTCCACTGCGAGTCAGGCTATTTGTTAGTCGATGTATATACTGAAGCCCCCTGCAGCAGGCTATTTCAGTATGACGTCAGATTGCTTACAATAGTACGCAATACTATTTGTGTGTATATATATATATATATATATATATATATATATATATATATATATATATATATATTAGGGTGTCCCAAAAAACAACATTTTTGAAAATAATCTGCTCTCACCCCCTAAATGTGTTCTATCTAATACAAAAACACTAGGTTTAAATTTTTTTTTGAATAAAAAATATTTTAAGGGGTCCCTCAAGACCCTCAAATATTTAATGGGTCCCTAATATTTTTGAAAAAAAAGTTTTTCAAAAATATGTCAACCTGGTACTCAAATGAAGCGAAATTGTATAAATATTTTAAAAATAATATTTATTTCAAAATATTTTTAATAAAAAAACATTAGAAATGCATTTTTTTCATTTTTTCTTAAAAAAACTCAATTTTTTATGTAATAAAACCAAAAATAACAATTTTGTTTCAAAATGAATATTATTTTTAAAATTTTTATATAATTTCGCTTCATTTGAGTACCAGGTTGACATATTTTTGAAAAACTTTTTTTTCGAAAATATTAGGGACCCATTAAATATTCGAGGGTCATGAGGGACCCCTTAAAATATTTTTTATTCAAAAAAAATTTAAACCTAGTGTTTTTGCATTAGATAAAACACATTTAGGGGGTGAGAGCAGATTATTTTCAAAAATGTTGTTTTTTGGGACACCCTAATATATATATATATATATATATATATATATATATATATATATATATATATATATATATATATATATATATATATATATATATATATATATATATATATATATATATATATATATATATATATATATATATGTATATATATATGTATATATATATATATACATACACGCTTAAATATTTATACATTTTGCTTTAGTGGGCTCAATGTTTTCTTCCATTGCTGATATTGAGGTTGATACACCTACAAAAGATGTACCTTTAAATGAAATTTTTCCACAAGTTGCAGTTGAAGTAAATGAAGCTGAGATGAAAAAAAAGGCAGATCTTGAACGTTTAAATGCAGAAATTGCAAAACTTAATGCTGATATGCTAGTTTTAAATTCTAATGGTGAGTTAAAAAGTCTTTCTTTACCCAGCAAACCTCCAGAATACAAAGTTGAAACAAAAATAGAATCTGCTGCAGAAAAAATAATAGAATCTAAAGAATCACCAGAAGACTCCATTGGAAAAATAATCGAGTCTAAAGAATCACCAGAAGAATACAAAGCAGCGTCTGTTAATAAAATGTTATCATCAAGCAATTTTGTTGATGAAGACACAGTTAATATTGTCATTAAGGATGAAGATAAACATGAAATACATAATATTTTAACTAACTTAGAAGAGAATGAAAAACAATTAGTTTTTGAAAACATCACCGATAAACCTCTTTCTGGTGAAGAAATAAAGAATGTTTTGCCAGAGAATGCTGAAACTGGAGAAGAGAAAACCGATTTACTTGATTATACAAAAAATGAGGAAGCAAATAGCAATTTGTTGAAGAATTCTGATTTTGAAGAAATAACGAATCCAATTGAAGATTCAAAAACTGAAGAAGTAAAAGTTGTAATGATTGAGGAAAATTATATAGATGATAAAAATAGTATTTCAGATGATGGTAAATCTGCAGAAATAACCACTGTATTGATTGAAGGTAAGAAAACCGAAGAATCAACAAATGCTTCAATTCACTACACTGAAACTGAAAAAATGACCAGTGAATTGTCTGAGGATGGTAAAACTGAAGCAATAGTTATTGATATGACTGAAGATAAAAAAGTTGAAGAATTGACAAATATTATGTTAGAGGAATTTCAAATTAAAGAAATAAGTAGTGTTTTGGAAAAACAAGTTGATGGATTAAACAGTGATTTGAATAAACAAGTTGAAGAATTAAACAGTGTTTTAAAGAAACAAGTTGAAGAGTTAAAAAATCTTTTGATTGAGGAAAATGAAGAAATATGTAACAGTTTGACAGAAGGTGTCTCTTCATCAGCTATAGATAATGAAAAATTCAGTTCAACAGATTTAAGTGCTTCTGAAACTATTAGTTCAGTAGATTTGCATGTCTCAGAAACTGTTGTTATTAGTGAACAGATTTTCCCAGAATTACATGATGATAAATTAAACAGTGATATGGTTTTAACACCAACAACAGACTATTATGAAACAATAAAAGCAACAGTTGACAATCAAAACCTTGATTTAATAGAAAAAGATTTTTCAGAAACAAGTAATACTCTTCGGGTTCATTTAGATTCTTCAGATTTATTTAATGCTACCTGTAGTGTGGAAACTGTAGAAGATGAAAAAAATTCCAATGTTTATCGATCTGATGATATTGCTAATCCTCTTTTACCTGAAGCTTGTTCTAATATGGCTAAATTAGTTGATGAAAATGATAATCAGAATACAGACACTCAATCTGAAGTCATTGATTATTCCAATCGACTAAATGAAAGTGAAATAAGTGGTGATGAATCGGTTGCCGTTGTAAAAGTTTTAATCGAGCAAGCTTTATCAAAATCCGAGGAGTTTAGTGCATCTGAAGAGGTAACCCCTATTACCATTTCTTTAATTCCAAATACACCTGATAATAAACATTCTTTCTCTGAATTTGTGGAAGCCGAAAATTTACCTTTACAAGATGATGGAAGTACTATGGATACTATACATTCTATCGCAAAAATTGTTGAGCCAAAAATTTCACAAGATGAAAAAGATAGTTCATCTGATGAAGACGAAAAAGATATTATCAGTAATGAAAATAAAGATTTAACAAAATCTTATGACCAGGATGAGAAACCCTTAACTAGTTTACTTTCATCGTATGAAAATAACAAAAGAGCTTTATCACTTAATTTTGGCGATGATTTAGAGATTCCAGCATTTATTGATACGAGTCTAAGTGACGATATTGCAATCCAACTTATAACAAGTAGTCCTAATAAATCGGAATCTTTGGGTTATTTTACAAGCGTTGAAACGTCATCTTGATTCCATAAAAAATTTTAAGGTTCTAAAAGTAAATTTAATATATTTCTTTTTTGTGTGTGTGTGTGTGGAAGTTGTTTTAATTTTAGTTTTAGTTTTCTAGATTTGTGTTAAAATCCAAAAAATTTTAAAAGGAGTTAAAAGTAATTTTTCAAAAAAATTATTTTGTAAATTTAAAATTAATCTCTTTTTAATTTTTGCAAAACAAAACGATTTCACACCTAGGAATTATTTTTAGATTTGTCTTAATGACGTTGACTTAAGATTTTATTATTTTAAATTCTTTGTTTTTATAATTCTTTATAAGTTTTAAGTAAAATTAATAGATTATTTTTTTCATTTCCTTATCGATTTATTTATTTGTTGTGTTTAAAGCGGAATATTTTTGGAGTTTGATAATACTTGTTAATTTATTTGATAACTTTTAAAATCCTAACACGTTATATTTTGCTTTTATATTTTCATTTAAAAAATCTTTATAATGTAGATAATAGCTTAGTATATTTTACTTTATATTACGATATTTCGTTGAGATTATTTTTAGAAAAATAAAATTTTCTCGTTTATAAATATAAATCTATAAAAAAATATTTTAAAATATTTATAAACATTTTTTTATTAATTCTTTTAGTCGTTTAATTTAACTACTTTTGTGTGCTCAACACAGAGGAGGGGGGTCCGGGTCTGATTAACAGGAACGGTTAATCAGACCCGGACCAATCAAAAGGTTAAGGGCTGAGAATTTTTTATAGATCTAATAAACAGGGAAATTTTCGAAAAGAGATGTGAATGTTTGTGCTCCGATTCATTTTCCAACTGTTTATTGTCACCAACATTTATATCAGGGTTAAAATGTTTTTAATACGCCTCTTAATGGTAAGACGAGATGTCACAACTTTGTAAAATGTGATATATATTGAGTAGATGTTTCTACATTAACTAAATGTTTCCCTATTTTATTATTAAAAACAGCATCTTTCCTCAAATCATTATTGCCTTTGGATAATCAACTAATAAAACGTCGGAAAAGCTTTTAGCATTATCATCAACTTGATTGATTTCATTTTAATCAACAGTACCTGTTTTTTCATTTGCATCTTTTGATAAATGTTTATTATGTTGATTGATAGCTGATTTTTCACCTTTAAAATCAAATAATTCAACTCTTATCTGGCGGATCTGTTTCACTTTAATTCTGGTTTTACTTCTATTGGAAGTGTAATTAGCACTTGTTTTACTGCTATTGTAACTACCCTTTTTTAATTTCTAGGGTTATAGTTTGCATATGGTTGTTTTGAAATTATCCTACTAAGACAAAAGCACTTTCTGAAACAAATTTTTTGCTTCCGTCAAGATTACGCGAGGTTAGAATTATTTTGTTCTATCTCCACATTTTTTTGTTTCGAGATAAAACGATTTAAAAAATAAAAACTTTAGGAGACGGCATATAAAAAAATTTTTATTACTTATGTTTTCTCCGAAACTTTTTTGATTTTAACTTAGGTTTTAATATAGTAGAAAAACATTATTTTGAGGTACATTACACAATTAATAACTCATTTTTTTCAAAAAGTGGAGATAGAACAAAATAATTCTAACCTCGCGATTATTTGTTACCCACAGGGCTTTGAATCGACTAGTTACAGGAATTTCCAGCATATTCCAACTTTCTAGTAGCATTATAATTATAACTTTAATTCAGATAAAACTCATTTTTTCAGTCAATAGTGATCGCAATAATTTAGACCTTCCTATATTTATGAATGGTAATGTACTCGATGAGTCATCTACCCTTCATCTTCTAGGATTAACTCTTACTTCTGACCTTTCTTGGAAACCTTATATCAAATCCGTTGCAAAATTAGCATCTGCTAAAGTTGCTTCTCTTTATCAAGCTCGTCACTTTCTTACTCTGGATTCTATTCTCTATCTCTATAAATCTCAAATCCGGCCTTGTATGGAATACTGTTGCCATATCTGGGGCGGATCTTCTAATGATGCCCTTTTGCACCTTGTCTATTTTAGACAAGGTGCAAAAACGCATTGTAAACATAGTTGGACCTGCTCTTGCAGCCAACCTTCAACCTCTGTCACAACGTCGTAATGTTGCTTCTCTTTCTCTTTTCTACAAATACTATAATGAGCACTGCTCTAAAGAGCTAGCGTCTCTTGTGCCATCTACTAAAATTCATTATCGTGTTACTCGTCATTCAATTAAGTCTCATCCTTTTTCTGTTCTGTTCCAAAAACTTTTATTCCTCTAGTTTTTTTTTATTCAAACATCAGTTCTTTGGAATTCGCTTCCTTCATCTTGCTTTCGTGATTCATATAATTTGCAATCTTTTAAGTTGTCTGTTAATCGTTATCTTGCTCTACAATCTTCATCTTTTCTCTTCCAGTAACTTCCAACTCTAATTAGTGATTGCTTGCAGTCTTGTTGGAATTGAAGATGCTTAAAATAAAAAATATGATCCCTGGTTGGTTATACTTTCATATTTGGTTATTAATATGTCTCAAAGAATTTTTTTTAGGATCAAGACTTAATTGCTTCATCATAATCTTTTACTCCAGCTCTCGGTATTTAGCTTTTAAAGAATTGAGGAAATCCGTATTTTAAAAATCTCCTGTAAGACCACCTATTTGAAAATATTGCCTTTTTTAAGCATATGTTTTCAATACTTTTTGTGCTAACGCAATACTTTTCAATACTTTTTTTCAATACTTTTTGTGCTTAACGCAAACACCTTTAAACACAATTTTTAGTTTAAGTGAGATTTTAAAGTCACTGCAGCTCTCTTTCAAGTGAATAAATTTCTGTTTACTAGTAGTAAACAGTAATTTAGGTCTCGTCAAAATTTTCTAAACAGCTACATATAATAGCTTTTTTTATAACTTTAATTTATATATAATTATGATCTATAATCTAAACCTCGTAAAAAAAATAAATTTAGAAGACGCATAAAACAATTTAATTCTAGTGTGTACAGTAGAGCGGAGTGAAAATAACTTTTTTTTAGAAATAAAACTATTCTCCCTGATTTTTATATTAGCTATAAGAAAACTTAAAAAACGAGACCAAGGTAATCAAAATTGGCCAAGAATTACCCTCTACAACAATTTTTGACTAAAATTATTTAATACACCGTTTTATAGTCTCAGTGCCGTTCCGCAAATTATCTCAGAATTGTTTAGAAAAGTTAACATTTCTAGAATTTGAGAAGATAGTGAAAAAATTTAAGAAGCAAAATATGATATATTAATATTACTTTGATATAAAAAATTTTTAACGCAATATAATTTTCCTAGCCAAATTTTTCACAATTTAAGTTCGAAATTTTTATTTTATTAAACGAATTTGTAATAATTCACGGAAGGGAACTGAGACTTGAACCCGTGTATTGATAGCAATAAAAAAAGTTGAATATAAGGCATATATTAAGATCCTTGCTCCATTCGGAGTTTTAATACAAACCATATTTCTAAATGTTAGTAATAATATTTAGTTTAAATTAATAATATCATTTATAAATTTATAATGTTTAATAATTTTAGAGCTATATTATATAACACAGTTTTTAATAATAAAAATTAATCGAATATGGTTTGTGTTAACATTACGAGTAGAGCATGCATAATATTAGACTTTTTTTGTTTAAAAACTTTGATTTATTTTAAGTTGCTACTTATTTTATTGTAAGTTGTTTTATAGTTTGAATTCAGTTTGAATTTAGCCTTATAATATAACTAACTTTGAAAAAAACTGTTTTTTAAATATTAATAGCATAAAATTATTTCACTATATTTCTTATAATGTTTTTCATAGAAAATAAAATTGATAAAGCTATGTATTTTTCTATGTACTAATACGTTGCTATGCTTACTAATACTATGATAATACTATACTTGCGATTTGCTAATTACTTTTCAGTAAATGAAATGTTAAGATATAAAACAGATCATCTATTATTTGGGTATTCAAAACAATTTTCTGAGGTACTAGATGTGTCCAACGGGACTAGATGTGATGCGGCATATGGTGTTCTTATGAGAAAATGTAAGCATTCTATACTGCATATCATTTCTCAAAGAATAGTACAATTAAATATATATTAAAATCAACTAAAAGAATAAACTTAGCTTTAACAGCAGCATACATAACGTGTCATCATTTACATCCTTGACAAAGAAAATTGCTAACTTTTTTGAGCACAGCAAAAAATCCCAACTGCTTTCAGAGAAAATAAAAAAAAACTTTCAACTCAATAAAGACAGACTAGCTAAACTGATTGATATACCTGTTTGCCAATGCAAAGATCTTAGATAATGCTGTAATGCCAAAGTTAATATTGTACTAGCTATGGAGCACATTTTCCTAGAAGATACAAGAAATGAAATTAAAATTGGCTAAAATAAAAAAAAAAATTTAAACTTAAAATAAACTTAAAATAAAATAAAAAGTTGTAGTATAGTGGTTACTTAACGTTAAAAACAAAACAAGTATACAAACAAACTTAATGTTGTTAATTATTTCATGGTTATTAGGTTGTAACATTGTTAAATTTGTTTGGGAAAGCTGTTTTGATAAAACATATATTAACAAATTTTTCAACCAAAAATAAAAATATTTGTGTACTTTATAAAAAAAACTTAATTTTAATCTTTTTACTTCTAAACAAGTAGAATTGATAAATAAATAAATTGAATATTGTTGAATTATGAACATTTTTTTTTAACTTTAGGTAAGTTTATTACATTTAAAGCATTGAGTGATTATATACATTTTAAGATACAAAATATGTTTTGTATTTTAATTAATGTAAAGTATAAAAATTTATATAATTCCCTTATTGAATATGATTGTTTTTTCGGCCAAACTTGATCAAGGTTTTGATTACTTGTACTAAAAATTTGAAATATTTAGCGTGTGAATGTATTTAATTATTTGCTGAGTTTGCAGACAAGATTGTATTTTTTTTGTTGAAAACAATAAAAATTTATCAATAAATTTTTATTGTTTTCAACAAAAGGCGTCTTTAATAGTTTGGAGTAACAAACTTTTTCAAAACTCAACTATAAGTACCTTAAAATTAAATTTCTGCATTATCACAGATAATGCATTAAATAAAATT